CAAGGAATGCATCTAAACCAATAATTATTACAACGCTTAGCATACAAATAGCAACAGCAATAAAACTAAAGCAATAACAAGAAAATAATGGTTAGTTGGAACGAATGCAGTAAAATAAATATATAAAAGTTAGGAACCTGTCAGTGCCACTCTCTGGCTGATATCCGCGTAGGCCACATGGTTCACAGACACCAGCGGAGTATTCAAAGAAGAATCCCGGTGCACACACCGCTGAAATCGTCCAACTCAATGTGAAATCAGTCGGGTTTTATATGTCTTTTATTCCTAGTAATTTTCTTCTTGACTTTCAGCCCCATGGTCAACGCTCGCCCTCTTTTTCCGCATTCCGGGCGCAGATTCTCGCAAACCAGCCATTGCCTAGTTTCACCAATACTAAATGAACTCTGAGATTTCTATGAAGAATCTATCGAGATGGACCATCTAGGAAATAGACATCACTGGGGATAACTTTCTCGAGTAGAAGGATCATTTGACTATGAACAAGCACTTTTTAGGATGTGCCACCTATCCAACTTTTATTTCAGAATCGTAGTGAAATTTAGAATACGAGTTTGCCTGTGAGTCACTCTTCATCCCTGAGACGGAGTAGGCGTGGCTTTTGAGCATGGCATAGGACGGGTTTCTCGTGGGATACTTCAATTTGAAACAACTGCTATCTTGTTCTGTGTTAGATGTAGACATGATTACGACTGCTCCAAAATGACAATATCTCAAAACCTGGGCCGCCGCCATTTTAAAATCAAGTACGCAGCCACGCCTACCCGATCTCAGGGATTTCGAGTATACATAGCTGGCGGCGTGATTCACTGCTATCAACCCACCACTAGTCAACTGTTTCCACAATGGTGAAAGGCTTGGATATCCTGAACTTTTTACAAATTGTACTTTTCAATTTCCCGGAGACTCCTTTGTTGGCTTGACATTCTAATAAATAATGTACTGAAACGCACGTATGCAAGAGCTTTCCTCCACCGTTCCTTCCGCTCCGGTTGACCACTCGTCTGGACATCTCAGGCAAGTATTTCGACCAGCGTCGGGTTGGTAGTAGCCAACAGAGCATGGTTCGCACACCTCCAATCTTGTGTTAAAAAACGAGCCAGGAGCACAAAGTTCTGGAAACGAAAAAAAATGTACATGGAATTGTCAAGACAACCCTGATGAGAGCGTTCAAGTGGATGAATCAAAAACATATGAAAAAGTGATACCCGGAGTACTGTGTGCTCGTTATAGTGTAGAGGTTGAAATGTCATGCCATATTTCTGCTCGGAATTTAGTAATATTCGTTTTATGGCGTTTTACCCGGACCATCACAGACAACCCCCCTTTCCCCATTTTAGACCATTTTTTGGCTCATTCTGGAAGCAGTGTACCGAGAAATACCACAACGTTTGGTGCAAAAATGCCTGGCATCAAGCTGAAGCGGCTTTACACTAATCATTTTCACAAGCAGAATTTTTGTGAAGCCAGGAATATGGCTCCCCGTTCCGGTCATTTGTAGAGCAAAAGATTCACAATCAAGACACATCTATCGCTCAAGAGCTTCTAGGGAAGAAGAGGGCGATTCTGGACGACGAGTTTGCACTTGCCCGGTATTCATGGAAGCTCCTGTCCAGTTCCACTGGCTCTCATACATTCAGAATACAGAACTAAGCAGCTCAACAACGCTCCACTAGGAACTCTTCAAAAACTCTTCGCCGCCCACCGCTCCATACTACGCTGGACGTAATATAGGCCGGTGGGCGGCGCATACCTTTCGTCACTAACGATTCTGGCCATCCTTATTTTTTGTTTATAGTTTCCTTGGTCATCCTTGTTTATGAGCCGCAAAAAGCAGCCATACCCTCTTGCTGCGTTCGAACCGGACTATCTTGTCCAGCGAGGTCGCCTTGCAATCTGATGAGCGCAAGAACGTTACTTCAAGACCAGTTCAATTGGAGTAGGGAATATCCGTGGAGACCTGATCAAAGCAAAGACGGGTTAAACGGTATGTACAGTCTTACTCGCTGCTTGGCGGCGCTGTGCCAGCCCGAATTTTTCACCAAACAGTTGTCGCATGCCATTATTTCATCAAGTGCGAAACACGGTTGCGCCGCCGCGCCAAACCCGCCTCCCCTAAATGTCGAATGGTAAGCAATGGACAAGGAGTGTGTTTGATGGTGTGAAGTCGCGATATTTAGTGCTGTTTTCTGCAGGCACTTTTGTGAGGTAGCTTTTCTAAGGTAGTTCGAGGCCATTTTGCAACATCTTTGGAAAAGAGTTTGGTTAGACAATGCGGCGACTTGGTGGTCATTCGGTAACTCGTGATCAGAGGAAATCGGCACGATTACTGGGGGCGGGCGGTTGCTGTTAACGTCACTGGTGGAAGAGCTATGTGTGGCCCTGTCACAACCCTTCCACCAGTAACGCCGGCAACAACGGTCCGCCTCTAGCAATCGTGCTCACTGCCTTTTAAGCCAGATTGCTATAGTCCTAAATGTGACATGTTTGAAAATTGAGTTTGAAAAGGTAGTTCGAACGAGTTAAGACATTTGTTATATCGGTGTAGCCGATGTAAAGTGCAGTGATGTGAATGTGCTTATTTTAGAAGATTTTATTGAAATTACAGACAATCAACCCATCAATACACAAACCGACTTGTCCGATGCATGCAACCAGTTATTCGTCATTTGACTAATTCGATGAGGTTCTTTTATTTTATTAGAAAGACACATATACAGTAATTGTGCAGTCGATGGTATGGTAATGTGCTGTGAAGTTATCGATTTGTTGTGTGGCTAGAGTGCTACGAGTCGATCAATAGCGATCGGTTCACGTTCTCGAATTGGTTCATCACGAAGTCGTCGGAATTCCTTACGGCATTTATCACCGTCGACTAACACGGCGCCTTTGTAGCAGAAATATGCCTCGTCGAAGGTGAGTATTGGCGATGGCTTGCCGAGAGCCTGCAATTAATCCTTTCTTGGACTTCATCAAATATTGCTAGAAGGGCAAAGATTTATTGGGAGCATCCGGACAATCGGTAGCGAGTCTGGACCATCTCTGTTCTGCTTGTCTGCGCCCTCTACGAGTGTCAGTGAGCTTGGTCGAAGTCATCGTTAGGGGTCGTGCTTGGCCACTGGGGGAGAGGGGTTATATTTGGTCTGAGGGTCGTATGCGGCTTGAAAATCCCCCAGATACAATATTTCATTGTGGTGAGTTTTTGCGAAAGATTTTTTGTCTGTTCTCCGTGCACTTTACTAGGTGTATGGGTCCGGAAACGGTCGGGGGGGGGGGGGGGGGGAGGAAGTTGACGTATTAGGACACTGCCATTTCACCTATCACCCAAGTTCAAGATCTAAGTCGCTCGACGCGACAAAATTTTCCCGGTCTCAATCCTAGAGACGGTTTCCACCCCGTAACAGGGCACATCGTTGTTGGGGAGTCCCCAATAGGGGGGTCGTATTTGGTCGCCAGGAGGGGGGTCGTATTTGGGCTGAGAAAAATTTATTTTGATAGTTGATTTTTCTCGCTTCATGGACGTTGTAAAGGGAGGGGGGGGTCGTATTTACGTTTTGGCGTTGTGGGAGTGGCGGTTGACTTTTGGTGATTTAGCGCTGTTTCATGCGGACTATTATATTGCCCCGCCCCTCCTCACCACTTAGCCCCCCCATCCCTCGCTCGACGAGGCAAGACAACTGTCTGGTAAAAACGTATTGGAAGTTTTCGGGAAATTTTGGAAAAAAGGGGCAGGTAGGTTGGGGAAAAATCTGAAAATTGGTAGAGGGGGGTCGTATTGTCTCGCGGCTTTTCCTGTTTCACATGTGCTATTTACCCCCCCCCCCCTCCCGCTCGACGGCTCGATTCGATGAGGAAGGACAGAGGGCTGGGGGGGGGGGGGTCGTACGAACTCACCAAAAGGGGGGGGGGGTCGGTGGTAGAGTCCGCACTAATGTCCCCAACCAATTGGACGTGCCCTGCCCCGTAATGCATTCGCAGAGATAGATGGCTCTTACTGATTATCCGTGCTGAGGCTCCCCTTATTGATGCATTTAAGGGTATTCGATAAACAAAGAGGTAAATAAATTAAATAAAGATAAATAATTATAGCAAGCACTAGTGAGTTACCTTTGTGGATATCGTGCTATATGAAAATGCGCTTGAGGCCGATTTGTCTGAGACGGCCAAAAAGCCGTGCCGTAGGACGTCGAGTCGACTTTGGCATTTTAATGGGGTCCCTGAAACAGATCTTTTAATTCAAGCTCAGTGATAACCGTAAGCTAGGACCACTGCTCTCACTCATCTTTCGAAGTAGTTTACCATCATACGGGCAGTTATGAAAGCCATCAGCCTTTACCGTATGTACTACAAAGGAGGGGTGCACCAGTGGAAAGGTGCAAAGGCAGGTCTGACTCTGCGCCTCCTCGATCTCGATACATCAACGGAAATGAAAGCTGAGAGTATTTAACGACATACCTTTCGGAAATGAAAGTGACATTAATTCTGTAGTGGTTACCACCGAGAACCTCACCGGTCACTTGCGCTTTTCCACAGTCGTTTGGAGATCTGAAACGAGCTCTTACCAGTACAAATGGTTCAGAAGGCACAGCGTATTAAATCTGGTCTGTGACATTTTGATGAGTTTCTCTGATGATATGAGCATTGACTTAGTTGACAGACGAGGCGGTCAAGAGATCTGAGTTGAGAAAACGCGTAGGAACCAGGTCATCGCGCACGAGGAGCTGAGGGTCACAGGACTCTTGTCAACCAAAAGTCTAAAGTCAACCTGCTGCGAGGGTGCAGAGCTATTTTCTGGTTTCATTTGTTGGTCGAGCATTTGAAAGGAGAAGAAAATGGAAGAGGGAAGAGAGAGAGGAGGGGAGGAAAGGAGAATGGAGGAAGAAAAAAGGAAAGAAGGGAGGGAAGGGAGCTGTGATGATTCATATCCGCTGTAGACCGTTTTGAAGGCGTCTCTGCCATTTTCCGCTTTCAACCCGCCGCAACATAGACTTCCTGACCCGCCATCCTCCGAGGGGAGTTGATCTGGCCCGGATGAGACAACAAGTATTGTTTACGCAGTGATTAGAGGCATAAGGAATCAACGCCAGGGTCAATCCCTTCAGTACCACCTTTAGAAAGAAGAAGCCCAGGGCGAGCAACCACCAGAAGCTCCAAAGAAAAGACAGATAGGCGCCATTAGAAGGGCCTTACTGAAACCGATACACGACAGGAGATGCTCCAGAGAGAATAAAAAGGCGATGTTTATACAGTTAGTGAGCTCCGGGAGCCTGAAGCTAGGTTTAGGGGGAGAGGCTCCGGAAATTATAAGCCCTGGTACTCTGCGACAGCGATGATCGCCGGCTCTTCGGCGAGGACCATGAGAGGTAATTTCACCCTGCTGAAATGAAGATGCTGAGATGCGCCAGCGGCTGGATAGAGTCAGAAACGAGGACGTCAGAACAGTTACGCAGACCACCCCGTCCAAACGAACGCACGCGAACAGCAACAGCGATGGTACGAGCATGTACTGAGAAGACCCGAAGACCACACGATAAGGAAAGCGCTGGACCTCGAAGTCGCAGGCAACGAGGAGCCAAAAAAGAGATGGGTGACGTCTTCGCCAAAGAACCTCACTGAAATCGAGGCCACAGCCGAAGATACCTTGGATAGGAGAAAGTGGCGGCATCTATCAAGAACAGTGGACCCGGCGCGAGAGTAATGCAGGAAGAAGAGCAGGAATAAAAAATCATGTTAGAACGATTGGATAATAATATTTAGCAGAAAAAAGGGTAAAAACTGGGGCTGTGCCAAAGTCGATGCAGGTCAGGGCGCACTGCGATGAGCTCCCTTCCCTCCGAGGCTCAGCTTTGGAATAGTGCGGACGACCAGAACCCGGTCGCCCTCCGTGACGCACAAGAGCAGACGCCGTGGGGACCCCGATTGACATTAAAGGCAGTTGCCACGATAAGTCCCTAAGACGAGTATGATTAATGCGCCTGGCAGGACGGAATCCCGCTCTCTTGGGCAGGCGCCTTTTCGCCTTTTCCAAGGAAGGTGCCCTTATGAGGCTCTATCAAGCTGCAAGACACCGATCCGGAAGCTCCCG